CACCCCTCTCCACATGTCCCTCACCCCTCCCCACGTGTCCTTCACTCCTATCTATGTGTTTTTCTGCCCTCTCCATGTGCCCTTCACCCCTTTCTGTGTCCCTCACCCCTCCCCACGTGTCCTTCACTCCTATCTATGTGTTTTTCTGCCCTCTCCATGTGCCCTTCACCCCTTTCTGTGTCCCTCACCCCTCTCCACCTGTCCCTCACCCCTCCCCACATCCCTCACCCCTCTCCACACATCCCAGTGCCCGTGGGCAGCTGACCCCCCCCGCCGGTGTCCCCTCCCTCCCTCAGACATCGACGAGTGCGAGACCCCCGGGATCTGCATGAACGGCTGGTGCATCAACACCGAGGGCTCCTTCCGCTGCGAGTGCCTGGGCGGGCTGGCCATCGGCGTGGACGGCCGGGTCTGCGTGGACACCCACATGCGCAGCACCTGCTACGGGGGCATCAAAAAGGGCACCTGCGCCCGCCCCTTCCCCGGCGCCGTCACCAAGTCCGAGTGTTGCTGTGCCAACCCGGACCACGGCTTCGGAGAGCCCTGCCAGCCCTGCCCGGCCAAGAACTCGGGTGAGCTCCGGTTCTTCTTTCTCCTCCACCCTCTGGAGGGTGGTTGGGCACTGAACAGGCTCCCGAGGGCAATGGGCACGGCCCCAAGGCTGCCAGAGCTCCAGGAGGGTTTGGACAACACTTTCAGGCACAGGGGGGGATTGTTGGGGTGTCTGGGCAGGGCCAGGAGTTGCACTGGATGACCCTTGGGGGTCCCTTCCAGGATTCTACAATGATTAATGAGCAATCCAGGTTAATCCAGGCTGCAACTTTGACTGGAGGAACCAAGTGAAACCTCAGTTTCAACAGCCACAAAATGACACCCAAGTGCCCAGGGCGTAATTATATCCACAGTATAACCTGGAATTAGGGAAAGGTTCTTCCCCCAGAGGGTGGTTGGGCGCTGCCCAGGCTCCCCAGGGCAGTGGGCACAGCTCCAAGGCTGCCAGAGCTCCAGGAGGGTTTGGGTGATGCTCTTGGGCACATGGGGATGGTCCTGTGCAGGGCTGAGGGTTGGACTGGATGATCCTTGTGGGTCCCTTCCAACTCGGCACATTCTGTGATTCTGAGCGTTTAAAACCCCAGGAAGGTGCTCAGAGCCCTCCTGATGGCTTTGGCAGCTTGGCAGTGACACAGGAAAGCCACAGGCAGAGGGAAAGGGGTGCCAGGCAGTCCACAAACGAAGGCTGGGTCCCTAAATCTGGTGCTGATCTCACGGCAGGGATGTCGGACTCCAACTGGGAGTCTCAGCTTTAAAATCCACGCTGTGTGAGCACAAACAGGCCCTGCTGGGAAGCCTGGAGCTGACATTCCAACAAACAAACAATAAATCCAGAGTTACTGGCACGGGGTGCAGTGCCCAGCAAAGCTCATGGCTCTGCTGTCCTTTCTCCACAGCGGAATTCCAGGCTCTCTGCAGCAGCGGCATCGGGATAACGGCTGATGGCAGAGGTTTGTGCAGCCCAAGCCCTGGACTCGTCTCCTGTCACCCTCAGGGTTTGGTCACACCCTCCTTTTGGGTTTGGTCGTTTCATCTCCAGGGTTTTGTGTTTGTGGGTTTGATGGTTTCATCTCCAGGGTTTTGGGTTGGTGGGTTTGATGGTTTCATCTCCAGGGTTTTGGGTTGGTGGGTTTGATGGTTTCATCTCCAGGGTTTTGGGTCTGAGGGTTTGGTTGTTTCATCTCCAGGTTTTGGGTTTTTGGGTTTGGTCATTTCGTCTCCAGGTTTTGTGGGTTTGATGGTTTCATCTCCAGGGTTTTGAGTGGCACCAGGAGGCTGTGCCAGGAGAACCTTGGCACTGCTGGCTGTGCTGGGGGGTTGGCACAGCCAGGGTGTGTGTGAGAGCTGAGCGTGAGGGGGCACAGGGGGGGCTTTCAGAGCCTGGATGGCTTTTAATGCCTGCAAGAACCTCCCTCCGTGCCAGTGGGTGGGATATGAATTGGGCACAGGGAGGAGGAGAAACGGGCACTGTGGGATTCTTTTTCCCCCCTCCCCAAACCACCACGAGCTGGTGTTGAGTAACTATCCCTGAGGATTGAGGGCTGGATTCCTGGCACCCCTGTGGGAGCTGCGTTTCTGGGGATGCTCCCACGGAGTTTGGCTTTGCTCCCTGCTTTGATGGCAACGACTGAGCGTGACCAACTCCATCCTCTTGGTTGTTTCCCTCCGGCTCCTCCGGGGTGGGAGAGGAGGGTCCCGAGTCTCCCAGGGAGAGGGAGGTGATGTGTGTGTGTGGGGGGGTGTTGCCAAGGGGCTGCTTTGAGTCACAGTGCCAGCCCTGGGCAGTGCTTGGACCAGCAGGGAGAGAACAAAGCAGCCAGATAACAACCTCTCAAAACCTTCCAAATGGGAATGAGCCAGAGGCAAAACCCTGGTGACTTCTTGGGCTTCCAGCCAGGGCACCGTGTCCTGGCCAGAGTCAGGCTCAGGGTAATGATAAGGCTCTTTCTAGCAAGGAATTGTGTCATATTTTAGTTTCCCAGCCCAGACTTCTCCATTCCAGAAAGACAAACGGCCAAATTAACCAGATCCATGAAAATGTGCTGGATACTTAATGAAATATCAGATGTAAGTCTTTGTGCAGGCAAGTGGATGAAGCCCAGAGAGCTCAACAGATCACATTTACTGAAACAAAAACTTCACTGATTGTATCAGTCACTTTGGCAGCTCATAAATAGATTTTGATACTAATATTTAATCAGTTTGATGGGTTATACTTCCTAAGTGAGAAATGTCTCTTTGATTCTTCAGATCTGAGAGTATGGAACTAATAATCTCTAGGTGTAAATATGCATTTGACCAGAATCTCTTGGTCTTCATCCACCTTTAACATATTAAAATCAATACAGCATAAAATAGTCTGAAAATATATATATGTATCAAGCCCTGGTCAGCCCAGCCCTGCTCACAGGCACACTCCAAGCTCTCCAGGGCTGCTTTTCCCTGGATGGAACTGAACTCCAACTGCCTGGAGACAAAGGCCAGCAGTGTCTGGGCCTGTGGCCATCTGGCACCGTGGCACTGCCAGGGCACTGCTGGGCCTGCCCTGGGCTGGTTCTTGCCAGGGTGAAACCTCTTTTCCCAGACTCCAAAACAAGCAGGGAGGTGATGCTGCTGCAGAGGAAGAGGTGCTGCCCACCTGGCTGCCACCCCTCTGGGGCACTGGGTGCTGAATGCAGGGATAATTAATCCCAGAGCTGAGCACCGGGATGAAGGTGCTATTGGAAGACTCAGGAACGTGGCAGAAGGAGCTGAGAGCCCTCATGGAACTGGGCTTATCCCATCCCCTTATCCAGCTCCTCCTGAGCTCAGAGCTCTGTGCCAGATCAGCTGTGTATTCCCAGCTCCACAGCTCCAGAGGGAGAGGAACAAGGTTCCCCAGGATATACTGGAGCAAACCAGGAAAGTAGGCAGGACAGGGAGAAGTGGTGGATGCCCCTGCTGGGATGTGCTCAAGGCCAGGCTGGACAGGGCTTGGAGCAACCTGGGCTAGTGGAAGGTGTCCCTGCCCATGGCAGGGGGTGGGACTGGGTGGGCTTTAAGGTCCCTTCCCACCCAAACCAGTCTGGGATTGTGCTTCTGGCTGTGGGTGGACACCGAGGAGCGATGAGGGCTGGGGAGATGGAATGTTCTGGTGTTTCCCTTCGCTGTGGTCCATCTCATTTGACTTTTCTCTCTGCCAGACATCAACGAGTGTGCCCTGAACCCGGACATCTGCCCCAACGGGATGTGTGAGAACCTGCGGGGCAGCTACCGCTGCATCTGCAACCTGGGCTACGAGTCCGACCCCACGGGCAAGAACTGCGTGGGTGAGTCCAGGGCACGGGGTGGGCAGAGGGGGGCAGGAGCCAGAACCTCCAGGTGATGCCCCCAAGCCCTGTCCCCGCTCAGTGCTGCCTCACTGTGCTGGTTTAAAGGTGAACCAGCAGGGGAAATGAACCCAACTCAAAGGAGAGATTATAAGTCAGAATAACGATTTAATAAAATAATACAATAAGTACGATTATACAGACAAACAGTTGGTTTTAACCCACAAAACCCAAATGTATAACCCAGCACCCTGGGGCATGAACAGAGTGGTGTTCTTTGGGCCCCTCTGAGCCCAAAGTAAAAGGAGAGGGGAAAAACCTGTTGGTGAGAGTGGTGGTGCAGTCTGGTCAAGAGTGGTGGTCTCAGTCTGGTTGAGAGCAGTGATCTGCAGCCTTCCTCTGGATCCCACAAGTGGTTAAAAAAGTCCCCAGACTCCAAGATTATCCTCCAGTTCAGGCAGGAATGCCCAGTGCCTCCCTCAGGGCGGGGAGTTCCACACTGGGTGTGAGGACAGGAGCACCCTCCTATCTCCCAGGCCTCTGAACACCCAGTTTATGGCCTGAGGAGTCAGGGCTGCTCTGGGCAGAGGGTGTAAATGGTCTGTTGAGAACAGTTTCTGGGCAATGGCAGGGAAGGCTGTAGAATGCACAGTTTTGGGTTATACCCATGCAGTGATGAACTGGTCCCAGCTGTTCTAACCAGGACACTCACGCACACGGAAAACCACGAAGGTGCCCGTGAGAACCTGCATGGACGTGACTGAACGTCCCGGGTTGTCTCGCTGTGAGGGTGGAGCTGAACTTCTGCTCCTCCCAGGCTCTGTGGGGCCGGTGCTGTGGCTCAGGAACCCCTTCTCTCCCCTGTCCCCAGATGTTGATGAGTGCACTGTCAACCGTCTGCTGTGCGACAACGGGCTGTGCAGGAACACCCCCGGCAGCTACACCTGCACCTGCCCCAAGGGCTTCGTCTTCAGGACAGAGACGGACACCTGTGAAGGTAACGGGGCTCTGGAGGCACCACAAACAGCTCCACGGGGTGGGAAAACCCGTGGCCTGAGGGCCTGCCTGAAAGGCAGCTCAAGGTCTGCCGTGCCTTTGGTTCCCTTTCGACCACAGCGCTTGGAACTTGAGCATCTCCAGGGGTTTGGGTTTGGGGGGGTTTGGTGGTTTCATGTCCAGCTTTTAGGTTGGTGGGTTTGGTTGCTTCATCTCTGGTTTTTGGGTTTGATGGTTGCATCTCCGGGGTTTTGGGGTTGGTGGTTTCATCTCCAGGGTTTTGGGTTTCTGCATTCGATGGTTTCATCTCCAGCTTTTGGGTTTGTGGGGTGGGTGGTTTTATCTTCAGGGTTTTGGGTTGGTGGTTTTGGTCGTTTCATCTCCAGGTTTTGGATTTGTGGGGTGGGTGGTTTTATCTTCAGGGTTTGGGGTTGGTGGGTTTGATGGTTTCATCTCCAGCTTTTGGGTTTGTGGGTTTGGTGGTTTCATCTCCAGCTTTTAGGTTGGTGGGTTTGGTTGCTTCATCTCTGGTTTTTGGGTTTGATGGTTGCATCTCCAGGTTTTGGGTTTGTGGGGTTGGTGGTTTTATCTTCAGGATTTTGGGTTGGTGGGTTTGATGGTTTCTTCTCCAGGGTTTTGGGTTTGTGGGTTTGATGGTTTCATCTCCAGGGTTTTGAGTTTGTGGGTTTGATGGTTTCATCTCTGGGGTTTTGGGTTTGATGGTTTCATCTCCAGGGTTTGTGGGTTTGATGGTTTCATCTCCAGGGTTTGTGGGTTTGATGGTTTCATCTCCAGGGTTTGTGGGTTTGGTGGTTTCATCTCCAGGGCTTTGAGTTTGTGGGTTTGGTGGTTTCATCTCCAGGGTTTTGAGTTTGATGGTTTCATCTCCAGGGTTTGTGAGTTTGATGGTTTCATCTCCAGCTTTTGGGTTTGGTCATTTTATCTCCAGGGTTTTGGGTTTTTGGGTTTGGTCGTTTCATCTCCAGCTTTGGGGTTTGTGGGTTTGGGGTTTTTTCCCCTAAGGGTGAAGTTTCACACTTCCATCAAAGGAGTGGACACCCAAACCCAGAACATCTGGGCTTTTCAGTGCCTGCAAACCAGAACCATTTCCTCCAGGCCCCTGAAATTTTAGCTGAAGCCTGACCAAAATTGCAAGTTTTAGGGCATTTGATTGAAAGGTTGGGTTTTGGAGTGGGAGAAATTGTTTCCTGTCTGCAAAGTCCTCAGATATTTGAGAACTGGCACTTGGCACAGGAAAGTTCAGTGAAAAAAAGCAGATTTTCTGTAAAGGAGGTGAAAAATGGCCAATTTTGTGTGGCCTCACATCGGGGTCAGACAGGTATCAGAGGTCATATATATACTATACATTTAATATATTTAATATATTTATATATTATTAATATATTAGTATATATGTTCTATCTTATTATATTTGATATGTTTATATATTTATATATTTATATATTATTCAATTTCTATATTTTATATACTTATATATTATAGATTACTCTATATTTAAATATTATGGTGCTTTACATATTATATTTTATATCTTATATACTATAGATTTTATATATTTTATATCTTCACATATTCATATATTAGTATATATGTGTTATTATATTTTATATATTTTATATCCTTACATATTATTCATGTATTAGTGTATATTTTACCTATTACTGTATTTTCCATTTTAGCTATTTATTTGTATATTACCCATTTCATATCTTTTATATCCTTCCACATCCTTCACAGATTATTATACATTTTACCTATTATTGTATTTTCTATTTTCGCTATTTAATATATTTATATATTACACGTTTTATACATTTTATATCCTTCATAGATGATTATGTATTTTACATATTATTGTATTTTATATTTTAGCTATTTATATATTACACATTTTATACATTTTATATCCTTACCTATTCTTCATAGATTATTATATCTTTTACATATTACTCTATTTCATATTTTAGCTATTTCAGATATTTGTATATTACTCATTTTATACATTTTATATCCTTACATCTCCTTCATAGATGATTATATATTTTACATATTATTATATTTTATATTTTAACTATTTTATATATTTATATATTACACATTTTATATATTTTATATCCTTCATAGATGATTATATATTTTACATATTATTGTATTTTATATTTTAGCTATTTATATATTTCACATTTTATACATTTTATATCCTTCATAGATGATTATATACTTTACATATTATTGTATTTTATATTTTAACTATTTTAGATATTTATATATTACACATTTTATACATTTTATATCCTTCATAGATGATTACATATTCTACATATTATTGTATTTTCTATTTTAGATATTTTAGATATTTAGATATTACACATTTTATATCCTTACATATCCTTCATAGGTTATTATATATTTTACATATTATTATATTTCCTCTTCTAGCTATTTTAGATATTTACATATGACAGATCTTATACATTTTATATCCTTCATAGACTATTATATATTTTACATACTATTTTTTAATATCTTTTATTTCGTTACCGCATTTCAAAAAATAACTTAAAAACCCAATTAAAACCCTCACTCTCCACGTTTTGGACCCAGAAATTTATCCCCCCTGGTGACGGCCCCTTTGTCCCCCCCCGTGACTGTCCCTTTGTCCCCCCAGACATCAACGAGTGCACGTCCAACCCGTGTGTGAACGGCGTGTGCCGGAACAACGCCGGCTCCTTCGCCTGCGAGTGCTCCCCTGGCAGCAAACTGGACCCCACTGGCACCATCTGCGTGGGTAAGGGCATCCCGGGCACCTTCCTGGCTCAGGGATGGGCATCCCGTGGGCACTGGTGGTGGGATGAGGGGGATTGACCTTAAGCTGGAGGAGGGAAGGTTCAGGTTGGGTGTTAGGGGGGAAATTCCTCCCTGGGAGGGCGGTGGGGCCTTGGCACAGGTTGCCCGGAGAAGCTGTGGCTGCCCCTGAATCCCTGGAAGTGTCCAAGGCCAGGTTGGAGAAGAGAAGGCTCCAGGGAGAACCTGAGAGCTCCTTCCAGGGCCTGAAGGGGCTCCAGGAGAGCTGGAGAGGGACTTGGGATGAGGGGTGGAGGGACAGGACACAGGGAATGGCTTCCCACTGCCAGAGGGATAGATGGGATATTGGGAAGGAATTCTTGGCTGGGAGGGTGGGGAGGCCCTCGCACAGGTTTTCCCAGAGAAGCTGTGGCTGCCCCATCCCAGAAAGTGTCCAAGGAGAAGAGAAGGCTCCAGGGAGACCTGAGAGCCCCTTCCAGGGCCTGAAAGGGCTCCAGGAGAGCTAGAAAGGGACTTGGGACAAGGAATGGGGGGACAGGACACAGGGAATGGCTTCCCACTGCCAGAGGGCAGGATTAGATGGGATATTGGGAAGGAATTCTTGGCTGTGAGGGTGGGGAGGCCCTGGCACAGGTTTTCCCAGAGAAGCTGTGGCTGCCCCATCCCAAAAAGTGTCCAAGGAGAAGAGAAGGCTCCAGGGAGACCTGAGAGCCCCTTCCAGGGCCTGAAAGGGCTCCAGGAGAGCTGAAGAGGGACTTGGGACAAAGGATAGAGGGGACAGGACAAGGGGGAATGGCTTCCCACTGCCAAAGGGATAGATGGGATATTGGGAAGGAATTCTTGGCTGTGAGGGTGGGGAGGCCCTCGCACAGGTTTTCCCAGAGAAGCTGTGGCTGCCCCTGGATCCCTGGAAGTGTCCAAGGCCAGCTTGGAGCAACCTGGGCTAGTGGAAGGTGTCCCTGCCTGTGGCAGGGGGTGGAACTGGATGAACTTTAAGGTCCCTTCCAACCCAAACCAGTTTGGGATTCCATGAGCCTTTGACACCTCTCCTTCCCACTCAGTGTTCCCTTGGAGTTTGGTGCCAATTAATGTCTCTCCTGCCTCCAGGGAACCCGGAAAGCTGCAGCCTCAGGCTGTGCTGCACCCACACACGGGGTGCCAGGGGAACCCAGGATCCCTATGGGGTGGCAGGGGATCCTTCAGGGCATCAGGATGGTGGGTTCTCCCCCAGCAGATGGGTTGGGGGTGTGGTGACATTAAGGCACGTCGAGAAAAAGTGGATCCTTTGTCATCAAGACCATGGGAAGGTTCCCACTTCCCACTCCTCGATGGTCAGGGCCTTGCAAAGCATCACAGGGCAGATGGATAAAGGACTATTTCCACCCAGAAAAGGAGCAGGTTGAGAATGGGAAAAGGGCAGGACAGGGCTCTGGGGACCAGCAGGGTTTGTGTCCCTGCTGGAACCCACTTGGCCCCACAGATTGAAGGACAGAGTGACCCCAAGGACCAACAGTCCCCTTGCAGCCAGAGAGGGTTCCAGGGCTGCTCCTCAGGGTTCCATGAACCTGGGAATGGAGCAGCTCCTCACTCTCTCCTTGCCTTCATCCCTGCAGACAGCATGAAAGGGACCTGCTGGCTCAACATCCAGGACGGGCGCTGCGAGGTGAACATCAACGGGGCCACGCTCAAGTCGGAGTGTTGTGCCACCCTGGGGGCAGCCTGGGGCAGCCCCTGCGAGCGCTGCGAGATCGGTGAGGCCCTGCCTGGCACGGGGATCCCCCAGGGAACGCCTGGAGCTGTGCCAGGGGGGTTTGGGATGGATCTCAGGGAAAGGTTCTTCCTCCCCAGGGGGTGGTGGGCACTGACCAGGCTCCCCAGGGCAGTGGGCATGGCCCCAACGCTGCCAGAGCTCCAGAAGGGTTTGGACAACGCTCTGAGGGACAGGGGGGGATTTGGGGTGTCCTGATGATCCCTGGGGGTCCCTTCCCGCTCAGGATATTCCAGGATTCTCTGAATAAATCCAGTCTCCAACTCTGTCTTATCCATTCCCCTCCCACTTGCTTTCGTAAATCCAGAAATTGTGCTTTACCCTGTAGGATCCCTGATAAATTCCAGCTGCTCTGAAATCCTTCCCTGCCCCGTGTTGCCCATTTTTCCATGGATATCCATGGAGTTGTGCCAAGGGAGGTTTGGGATGGATCTCAGGGAAAGGTTCTTCCTCCCCAGAGGGTGGGTGGGCACTGACCAGGCTCCCCATGGAATGGTTATTCCCCAAGGCTGCCAGAGCTCCAGGAGCATTTGGATGATCCTCTGAGGGATTGTTGGGGTGTCCTGATGATCCCTGGGGGTCCCTTCCCGCTCAGGATATTCCAGGATTCTACAGAAATCCTGCTGCATTGTTGCTGTGGACGTTTCTGTGTTTGTAGGGGACAAATTAAGGCCCAACTCCTTAAATAAAGAGGGGCAGGGGGTGAAGAAGAACGAAAGCAAACCCTGGGGAACATGTCCAGAACTCTTGGACAACGCTCTGAGGGACAGGGGGGATTGTTGAGTTGTCCTGTGCAGGGCCAGAGGTTGGACTGGATGATCCTTGTGGGACCCTCCCAGCTCAGGATATTCCAGGATTCTCTGGGAGATCAGGAAGGCAGGAGCAGCCCGTTCCTCTGCTGACATTCCCGTCTTCCCTTGCAGACACTGCCTGTCCCCGGGGATACGCCCGGATGAAGGGGGTCACCTGTGAAGGTACAGTTGCAGCAGGACATGGGAAACCTTCCCTTGGGATCGTGGTCATTGTTCATTTGCTGCTGTCCTGCCTCTCCGAGTCTGGGAGGGGAGGTTCTACACCTTCTGGCCTTTTTTTGGGCTCTCTGTGGACGTGTGGCCTCTGTCTGTCTGTCTGTCTGTCTGTCTGTGCTCAGACCCTGGCTGGGCTTGGCTGTGGCCGTGCAGGGACAATGTGCTTTTCATGGAGCGAGTTGTCACTTTTTAGTCTGGCAGGGCAGCTCTGGGCTCCTTCCACCTCCTCCAGAAGCCCCTGGAGGCCGTGCTGGCCTTGCCCCCGTGCCAGTCTCACGCCCTTCTCCTGCTTCTGTGCCCACAGACGTGAACGAGTGTGAGGTGTTCCCCGGTGTCTGCCCCAACGGGCGCTGCGTCAACTCCGCCGGCTCCTTCCGCTGCGAGTGCCCCGAGGGGCTGACCCTGGATGGCACTGCCAGGACGTGTGTGGGTAAGGGCACCTCCTCTCACCCAGATCCTGACCCCTCTACGGGGCTCCAGCTCCCCCCCTCCCTGCCACGTGCAGCAGGAATTCTTGGGAATTGAGTGGTGGCACCTTTGGGAAGGGCACCCAGACCCGGCAGCTGAACAGAGGCAAAGCTGCCACGGCTTCGTGTCCCCGAGTCCAGCAGTTGTTCTTCCTGGGGGGACTTCAGAAGTGGCCAAATCACCTAATTTTGGTTAATGACACGGCCCAGCAGCCCTGAAACAACTCCTGGGCACACAGGGACAAACCTCTGCCCTTCCCTTCCAGCACCAGGGAGGGGCCATTTGCCAGCCCTGTTGCCAGCAGACCCAGGCTGGTCGTGTCCATGCTGTGAAATCTCCCACAGCATTCCCAAAAAAAAAGGGAATGGCACTGGAACAGGCTCCCCAGGGCAGTGGTTGAGCATCCAACCCTGACAGGATTCAAGGAGTGTTGGGACAACGCTCCAAGGGACGTGATGGGATTGCTGGGGTGTCCTGTGCAGGGCTAAGGGTTGGGCTGGATGATCCCTGTGGGTCCCTTCCAGCTCAGGATATTCCATAGTTCTGTGAGAAGGGTCTGTGGGGCACCAGGGGAAGCCCTGATGTGAAGGAGAGGTTGGTGCCTGACCTGCCTGGGGAAACACTGGCCCTTGGAGAAAGAAATGAAGGAGCCAGTGCTGCAGCCATGTGGGTTCCTTCCTACTCAGCATATTCTGGGAATGGCCCATTCCTGGGCACTGTTTGGAGGATGCCCCAGCCAAAGCTATTTCAGGGATGTTGTAAAGCCAGTCCCAGAGGGTGCCAGGAGTGGTTTGTGAACCTGGGCACTGTTTGGAGGATGCCCCAGCCAAAACCACTCCAGGGATGCTGGAAAGCCAGTCCCAGAGGGTGCCAGGATGGTTTTTACCATGTGAAGCCAGTCCCAGAGGGTGCCAGGGTGGTTTTTACCATGTGAAGCCAGTCCCAGAGGGTGCCAGGCATGGTTGGTGAACGGCCCATTCCTGGGCAGTTTGGACGATTCCTCAACCAAAGCCACTCCAGGGAGTGTGTGAAGCCGGTGCCAGGATGGTTTTTACCATGTGAAGCCAGTCCCAGAGGGTGCCAGGGTGGTTCTTACCGTGTGAAGCCAGTCCCAGAGAGGGTGCCAGGGTGGTTTTTACCATGTGAAGCCAGTCCCAGAGAGGGTGCCAGGGTGGTTTTTACCGTGTGAAGCCAGTCCCAGAGAGGGTGCCAGGGTGGTTTTTACCATGTGAAGCCAGTCCCAGAGAGGGTGCCAGGGTGGTTTTTACCGTGTGAAGCCAGTCCCAGAGAGGGTGCCAGGATGGTTTTTACCATGTGAAGCCAGTCCCAGAGAGGGTGCCAGGGTGGTTTTTACCATGAGAAGCCAGTCCCAGAG